AAAGGTGCGGCAAAATTGCTAACTCTTTTATGTACTTTTTTAACAAAATACATGAGCTTCGTGTAATCTGTGTGTAATATGTCATCCATTACAAACAGTGCATAAAGTCCAACAACCCAGTATAAATTAATCTGAAGGTAATTAAAAATAACGGAAATAAAAAGTATAAATTTTAGGCTAAATAATTTATTAATCATGATACAATTTTAGGAATACAGAGCTGATTTTTTTCACATGATACATAATAACATTCCTGATAACTTTTATTGTTATGTAATTTCTTGGAAAGCTGATTGTTTCAGAAAAAAATTTTAGTTTTTTTTTTGTTTGGAGAAATAAACATTTTATTTTTTTATCTCGAATTGTAGAAAAATGTAATGTGTGCTTTATTTACAGTATAAGTCCAATCATTCTCTATCAAGAAAAAAACAATCCATCAGCAGGTACTTGCGGCTTTACGAGTAAAAAGATGTCAAAATGTTAGATTTGTTATTTATTAAAAAATAAAACACAATATACTAGTTTCTACTTAACTTTCGTGTTATTGTTATAACGCTGTGTGTAATTTAGCACTAAAATTAAATTTTCTTTAGTCGAAGCTCATGTATTTTGTTAAAAAAGTACATAAAAGAGTTAGCAATTTTGCCGCACCTCTACTTACAAAGCCGCAAATACATGCAGACGGATTATTTTTTTCTACATAGAAAATGATTGGAACTATACTGTAAGTAACCCACGCACACTACATTTTCGTATATTTTGAGATAAGGAACAAAATGTATATTTCTCCACAAAAAAAAATTATATTTTTTTTCTCTGAAACTATCAACTTTTCAAGAAATCATACAAGAATAAAAGTTGTTAGGAGTGTTATTGTCTATCACATAAAAAAATTAGCTCGATACTCCACAAGTTATTCCTATGTCCAAGAATTATCAATTTGGGCCCACTGTGCGCCACCGCAAACGGATGATAATTTAGACTTCCTTTAGGTTATACTATATTGCTCAGATTTTTATAGATACTTCCAAGTATTCTTTTATTTTGTTTAGGATTTGCGCCATCTAACTATATTCGCAAGCGTTACGTTATTAATTAGTTAACAACGAACAATGCCATCTATTGATACGCATAAATATCGAAGTTCAGAGAATAATTTTAGTTTATTACTAAATATTTGAAAAACATTACAAGAAAAATAGAATATCTACTATATTTCCTATAATAGAGGAGTTAATCGATATCCATGGCCATTTACGTAAATATAAACTAATTCCAGGCTATCGATCAGCGCCATCTAGAAATAAGACGGAATTTTGACCTTTTTCAGAGCTACGATTTTTAATATGGAGATTAGCAGTCCTCTTGGGTTATTGGTCCATGGTAATATACATTGTTTTTAAGGCAATTTATTAACCATTTTCAGAACTAGGATTTTTTTGGACCCATCCCAGACAAGTGAATACTTTACTTCCACCTGATCTAACAATACTTATGCACTGTAAAGGGATGTTTTTCTGAGATGAGAAATTTTAAAATGAATTGCCAGTAAAGTGAACCCAAAAAATGAATTTGGTTATTTCTAAATTGGAGTGGTCTGGTTATAGTCATCTTGTTATTTTATCTCCACTTTGTGATCTGGTCATGCCAGAAAGTATAGCATGGAACCTTGCTTGTAAAAACTCGTGAACCAGTCTGAATAATCTTCTTTTCCTCAAACTCCTTAGAAGATATCTTTCACCAGAAAAGTAAAATTTTGCTGTAATAGCTACAAGAGCCTGACATTCTTACTCTGTCATACAAACTGATCAGAACAATTGTGGAAATTGAAAACTGGAGTTCCAATTTCTTTTAACAATCATAGAGCAAAAGTTTGCTTTTTGTAACATAAATGCCAGGCCATGTTAAGAAACTTCAAGTAATATTTAAGAAGACGCAACCACATAATTGGTATTCAAACTTACATATTCTGCAAAACGAGCAGCACCTATCTGCTTGCTGAGTCCGCAACTGCTATTGCAAACTAAGCAAGGTTTATTCATTCTGAAATCAAGAAATAAACTATAAATTAAGAGTCTTCCATATATTCTGGTCAATGTTAAGATAGCTGTTATTTAATTACTTAAATGATTGACATTCTACAATGTTAAAGATATCTTATGAAATTTACATTTCATCTCATCTGTTCTTTTTTGTGACTAATTATTTATTATTATATTTACAAATCATTGGCCGAGTGCCTACATAAAGATTATGAAAATGTTGTGATCAGAATCCATCCTAAAAAATAGTAATATCCCCATAACCTGTGTATCACAATAAAATAAACAATTTAATGCTATATGAAATGTTTAATATGCAGGTCATTTTGGAGTTCCCGCTGAGAGCACATTATATTTTGGTTTGTTATATGTATATAGTTTGTAGTAAAAACTATAAGTAGCTTCCAATCCACTATGCGACTTCACTCCTAGACACATAATTCGAACTACACTTGTTATCAGCGTCCGGATGTTGATTCAAATTGGAATCGATACAATCGGGTAGTCTCGAAATCAGATGGGTTTCCGAGCGAGAACATGAACCTGATTCCTACTGTATTATCTTTCTAATTTGTGAGTTAAATCAACTTTAATTCTGAAACTTTTAGAAATGTCAAAAGTTTCAGATCGGCCAGTTGTGAATCGCAATTATGCTCCTCGACTCGGAAAAGACGCCGTTTCCGATCGGGAGAGGCAATCAAAATCAAGCTGCAGTAAAGAACAAGTTTTCCCCAGCCTCCTCCATTCCCAACATTTCATAGCCAGCTCCTTGGTCTATATGATCTTGTTTTTTATTTGTAGCGATTCTAGTCCTAATGTCAGTGGTACATTTGGAGTCTCCTGTGATGATAACACTACCCAGATATTTGAAATGTGGTACTTGCTCTACTGGAATGTCATTTATTTTAATGGATGTAATTTTGGAAGGATGTTTTTGCAGTTACTAACACTATGATCTTATTTTTGTTAATTGTCAGTTTAAATTCTTTAAAAATCTGATTCATTCTACTGAGTATATGTACACCATATTGAGTATATATACACTAGACTTAAAATTGCATGAATAGTTTGTAATCAATCAAACAATGTTTAATAAGGCGTTAATGCAGAAAATGTAATGTGACTTGAATTGTGTCCAGTAGTGTATTATAATCAAATTGCTTGTGTGAAAAGAAGTCAATAGCATTCCAAGTTTTACATGAGTGCATGAGTGCGGACTTGATTTCATTAATGACTTCATAATTAATTTGATTTTAGTAAATTTTGGGTTTGTATGTAAATAATTATGTAAAAAATTAATAATATAAAAAAAATTATATATTGCCCTGAAGTCACATGCAAATCTAGTTATTAAGAATACTAATTTACCCCGTATATTATTAAGACATAGATCCTGTGAAGGAAACAAAACTGCAGCGGCACTTGTATTTGTATTGCTTATTTTTTTACTCACTATGAAAGTAGTACCACACTACACTAGTAGACTGTGAAAAGTCTTTGTGGGCTGTAGAATGACAATGGTTAACAGATGAGCTGCATCATTGCATATCTATTACTCTCACATTGTTTCAGTGTTTTCACAACTAATTTTATATCTGAAGGTATGGAGATAATGCAGATGTATAAATGTGCCCCTGTCCCAAACTGCCCCACTTCCCCCTAGCTATTTATTATCGGAATATGCGACATATGAGTAATATACGTATTAAATTTGCAGATATAAGGGTACGTATGTTTACAACTTTATATGTTTGGTTAAAATCTAAATCTAAAATAAATAAAAATACTTCGTGAATTCGTAGTAGTAGTGCTGTTGTAAAAATGTAATCGACGTGAGGGTCAAGGAACATCGAGTCCACCCGATTTTATTACAAGTGTTACTTAGAATAATAACGCATATTCTAATGTTACTATATTATTTAACAGTCATTACGATGAAGAATCCAAATTGTCATTTTAAATTCAATTATTGGCACGTGTTTTACGTTTTAGAGTCCATAATTAAAACGTTGCCAATTCTTGGCTACTTTAAAGCATTATCTAACGTTTTACGAAGCCTTCCCTACAAGGAATCTTTCAGCTGGCAGATAACTTTCGTAATAAAATTCAAAACAAAACAAAAACTCTTCATTAACTTAGCATCTTATAATTCAAAACTATTGCCACCTTAAGAATAATTGTAGAGACATTGCCGAAATCTTCATTTTTATTTAGCGTGGAAGCCATTTTGACGTAACAGAGACTAATTTTCGCCGTTTTAAGAATAAAAATAACAATTAAAACATTAATTACAACAAATAAATACTTACTTGGTGTGTTTACAAACAATCTACATCGATAAATTGGTTTTTGAAGGTTTTCATGTAGATTTTCATCCAAATATGTTGTCAGCAATGATTTCTTTAAAACAAGCAGCCACCATTACGTTTTTATTTTAGTTTCAAATTCCACCACAGCTGTCATTTTGGCGCTGGTAGCTTCCGGTGAATGCGTTTTCATTTACAAAAATCTTAAAATTCGTATACGGTTTTCGGGAACCATTAACACTGAATGAATGCATGAGTCGTAGAGGGTCTACGCCATGAGCGAATGACTTGCCAAAATCGCGCGAAATAAGTAGGATAACTTCACATTTTTCATATATTTCTCCTAAAATGTTTTTTGAAATTACTAAATAATAAAACACATGAAAATCAAAGTAAATAACTTTATTTTTCAACAATAGTGTTTTTTCACGTAAATATAATATCTACGCAATAATGTAACTAATTTCTTTACATTTAATTATTGTTACTTACATTGAAATTAAGCCACTTACTTTCAAACAAGTAACCTAGGCATTAATTAACTAGTTTCATGTAAATATTGACCAAGATTGTCCAGTGGAAAGGGACAAGGAATGGAAATAGTCAGGAGTGTACGTTTATTATAACTACCACAATTGTATTTTGAAACAATAAAACATACATAAAACACTTTAATAATTTCTTTTGTATGTATACCTACTGACTGGAGGTAGTGAGAAAGTGTCATGTCATGATGAGTAGTCATCAATATCATGGCAAAGTAATTTAATTTCATTTTAACCATTTCAGGTCCGCATTCGCGATGTGTGGCTCTGTATGCGTGTCAGAAGACAACGGATAAACCGCTACACTGATATAAGATATGATATAAGGTTTAGCCTGAATTTTAACAGAGGTTCGGCCGCTGTTGTTGTCTCATTCTCTTATATTACATATCATTTTATTAGGTAGGTTCTAGCAGGGCTGCTGTGGTGGAGTGTCGAAATGAAAGAATACTTGTAGTGTTGACATGTATTTAATGTTTACCATGTAACTACAAATACCTAATCAATGAAATGTAGGCTAAAAATATATATTATATACTTTGAAAAAACGTAAATAAAACATCGATTTACATCGTACTAATAATATTTTGCAGTGCTGTTTCTCGTGTATTTTTTGTTTGAGTCAATTTTTGCTCGTGTAAGTCGAATGTCAAAAAATTTTGGGCGGTAAAATTGACATTTACATTGACACAAAGTACAGTCGCGAAGAAATGTTCTTAAAACTATTTTGTTGTCAATTTTATTGCCTAAAACTGTAATGTAACAGAAGAACAGTGTTATTTGTCGTAATTTAATTATTTCAACACACTAACGATTACTAATAAAGTAGACATTTAAAACAATATATTGCCTGTAACATTTAACTTAAAAGGAAAAGCTATCACGACATCGACGTCCTAACACTAAAACACTTAGTTTTTTCATTCGAAAATATGTCTAGAATAAAAGATATGCATCTATTTACCTGATACATTGATTTTTTTTAATGTTACTTTTTTATATTTTTTTCGCTATTTAGAGAAACTATTTGTTTTTAATTTTGGCTGACCATATAACTGTTTATCTTGTATTAGATTGGCAAAGTAATCAGATTTTTTTAATTGCACAATAGTTGTAAAGATGGCAATAGGCAGAATTTTAGAAAGACAAAGCGTTTTTTAATCATTTGACAAGTCATAAACAGTCATACAGAAATGCTACCACAATCCACACCATACAAACATCTATGCTTAGACATAACAACGAAATAGACAAAATTGTGTGACGAAAGTGGTGTTATTTTTGACGAGGACCTAATTCTAAAAATCCAAGGCTTAGTCAAACCATTACTAGGTATAGGTACTTTGTTTTTTAAGAAAAATTTATAGAAAATCCATACTGTCATATTTTTCCACTAATCGAATATAATTGACATCGCAATGACACTTACTACTAACCTAAAGAGTGCTAAACTATATATTCTTACATTTAGATATTTTTTTGGTTCTTAAGAATTTAGAGAATGGTCAAAGAAGTAGCTTTTACGACAAAATGTCATGCAAAAATAAAAAAGAAACATGCACACTTCAAACGTGTTTTATAAGATTAAAAATGAAACTCAAATGTACTACCTTATACCACAGTTTCTTTATTTCTTGTACATTTTCACAACTGTCAAGTAAACAAACAACCGAATGGTAGAAAACCAAAATTCACATAAACAAATGTACGAATTGACTTTTTGGTAACATTTTTATATTTTAGAAATGCCAGTCGACGTACAAAAAAGGGAATAAAAACTAAATACCATTTTCAACGATTTCGTCAACAAACAAACTAATATCATTTGCTATTATTGTCAACGCAGATTGTGAAACTGCTCGAGCGGTTAAAACACTGATGAATCAAAAGAAATCGTCCAAAAATATTTCTGTTCAATTTTAAAGTGTCAGACATACTCATTATTTAACATAATATGTTGGTGAAGTGAAAATTTGCTTTTGCGCTAAATCTGCGTTGACACATAATTGTATCTAAACAGAAACATGTCAGTACCATCCTCAAAACTTTGTGCCGTTTCTCTCCTAACTACCTATTGCATTAGGTAACTTTTAAAGGGCAAAGTATCATCGCTTTATCCCCCTTCGCTTTTGTCATACATGTCCTGTGAATGAGTTATATTCGTATCTGAAAAAATAGACATAATTACGCCAATGAATGGAGACTGATTTTTAGTGCAGCTAGTCAGGAGAGAGGTCGATATGATAATCATTAATGTCAATTTTTGAAACATGTCAATTTTATTAAAACGTTCAGTATATTGGAAGTGTTTGAAAATGGCACCGAGAAATACTAAAACTAACAATTATAGAAATAAAATGGGAATATTCTTAATCAATACCTAAGGCGCTACTAAACGAAATGCATAGTGTATGCACGGAGCGTTGCCCCTAAAAAACGAAAATGAAAACGAATAATATGGAAATGTAATGTGTTAAAGTAAAACATGAAAACTGTTACTTGTGTCTAAATTTTAAAACTAAAAAACTAACTGTTAATGTCTTTATAAAGATGTGAACTTCACAAATATTGTAAAAATAAGGAATTATTCAAAAGATGTTGCCATTATGAAAAAATTACCCCTCTTTGTATTATCCCCCAAATGCCCGTTTATTTTGAGATCTCAAAATATTTTATTCTTGCTCCATTTTTTTAGAGGGATAAATTTTTCATTAAATTTTTTTTAATGGCAACCCAGCCCCCGCACTCGTAGTGGTGTGCCTGTGTGTGTGTGTTTTGCCGTCCGTCTTGATATGTGTGAGTGTGTGTGCCCGCCGCAACGCCATTAACTAGAAGCAAATTGAAAATGTGAGTTCGGTTGAATGTTTTATTGTCATCTGATGCCAACATGGCCTATGTAAGGTAGGACGCATGCTGATGTATAATATCTGTAATAATTGGTAAAAATTTTACAAGTTTATACATCATCGTGTGGCCTACTGCACGTATAAATACCAATTAATTTTGATGTCAATATAAGAATTTTCAAAGCGTTTTAATAATGCCGGCGTCAGATTTTTCTTGTATTGTGGTATAAAAGTAACGACGGCATAACATGAAGGTAGGTACAATACTATAGAAGTCCAGAGAAAAAAATTAAATTTGTAGTATGTATGGGTATCTATATAAGTCTGAGAAGCTTGGAGAAGTGTTTATTTATGTTGAAAATAATAAATCCTAGTGTTCATAACACTTATATAATACAAAAATGATTTGAAATATTATAGCTCTGAGTTTTTAGTTGAAATGTTATAGCAGATGGAAATATACAGAAGCCTGATAACGTAGGTCGATACAAACATAATGCCTAATCTGAGCGACAGCTGTCAAAATATCCAATCAGATGTCATTTTGACATTCGACACCTGAATAACTTTTAATAAAAATTAATATTTAGGCATTTGCATGTGGAGCCTGCCTAACTGCACAGAGGGCGACGAGATTTACTAAAATTGTTCTATAAGGGACAAAAATATTATAACTAAAATGTTTTAATAATTATGTACTACCTTGGATAAAATTTTACGAAGTATACCTAGATGTAAATGTTAAATAAAAAATAAAAATAAAAAACGAAATAAAATTATTTTGTGATTATCTTTTTGCAAAATGACAACGTATCCAAACACAGACGACGCACACTTGCCACCAAACAATTGCATAGTGTTATTAATTCTATATTTCACGTCCAATATTTTAATCATTAACGATGAAACACGAATTGAAAAAAAAATCGTGTATTGGATTTAACTTTATAAAAGAAGTTTTCGACTTACAATATCTTGAAAAATTTTATGTTTTCTCTTGAATTAATTTTGTGTGTGATTACGCACAATTCTGGAAAAAATGTTTTAATATTAAATGATTGAAGAAATATTAAAATCTAAGATATGGCAGTATGGCTAATTAGACGCCTTCATCTGTCCCGAAGGACGAAAAATTTTACTTTAAGTCATCAATCACTTCATCGTCTATATGCAAGTTTATAGGAAAACTTGTTTAACATTATAAGTTCTAAAATTTTACTCCGACTTTTATACCGTGTATCATCGCAAAGTAGAGCTGTAGCGTTAAAAACCTAATTTTGTATATTCATTCATTTTACTCATTTTTGCGCCGAAAGGAACATCACTATTTTGACTATATGGCAGTGCAAGAATCCGTAGTCTGTGTTGGGCTTTACATCCCCTATAGTATTACAACATCAATTATTTGTCAATCTTGATATGTAGTTGAAACTATTACCTTTTTAATTCAAGCGTCCTTTCTTACAGTTACATACACGTCTATAAAATAAAATATATTTTTAAATTGACATATTTTTGACAGGACAAGCAATGTGTACAGTCGTGCACGACTTTCTTTATACTATTATAATTAATTAATCTACATTTTATCTAGCTCAGCGTTTTAAGTACAAATCGTAATTAACATAAAGTACAATATTGCAGTGACACTCATAAAATATACGAGTCGTGTTCGACTGTACATTAAATATAATACATTTAATACTTATTTTAAAATCTATAGGCTCTTTATTTAGCGGAGTTCAAAATTGACATATATTATAAGTTTGTTTGATAAGTCATACGGATATGTCATTCATTTACAAGCCTCGTATGACAATTTGCCTTTATGCCGTATATAAAATTGGTGTGATAGCGCTAAAAATTACTGAACACAACTTTTTAAATACATTGACTTATAAGACTTGTACTATTCATACCAGCACGCTTTATCGACGTAACTGACAAGTACGGCACAAGCCTAAAACGTCCATTTATAAGTCGGCGCCTAAAAACCTTACGTCTATTCCGATAAATTTTCTCAATCTTACACATTAAACATTGCCATTTTTTATTTGAATATTTTTTTTAATATGACACTTGAGTACCTGATTGTACTTTATACAACATCAATGGAGCAAAATAATTATTATCAATAGCATTCTCTGTACATCAGTAATTCTTCTATTTATCATACATAATATATATATATATATGTATATATATTTGTTTTTAATTCTAAAATATGTTTTTTTAATAAACTTTGGCTTTCTTTATTTGGCTTAAACGACAAGGAACCAAAGCTGAGTTAAGTTTTTCTTTTTATTAATATTGGCGTATCCTAAAGTTTTTTTTGTAATCAAGTTGTCTAGAAATATGTATTCATATGCTCCAGTGTCAAAAGATACTAAATTCTTAATATTGTTATTAGAAAAAATTTGAAACTTATTAAATACATTGGTGTACAGTTTTCCATATAAGAATAGATATATTTCGTTAAAATAACGAAGAAGGTATATGATATAGAAAAGCTGTCGTTGCTATACTTTTTGTTGATTCCTTATTTAATATTTATTACAAAGTACTTGTTGGATTTAGTATCATTGTAATTAGGATTTTTTTAAAGTCGTAGTTTTTAGCACTTGCAAGACTTGTTATATGTATATTTCATTCATTCATTCATTCATTCATTGCACGAAAATTCAAAAAACGAAAAATTGAAATACCTAAATTTTTCGTTTGCATCTTCCGTCCTCTTGAAACATGGGCACAGTTTGCAACGGCCATCTTTTTTCTGGATGACTCATGACAATTTTTGAAAAAGCTCAGTCTAACTTAATGATACAAATACATCAATTTTTATTAAAAAAAATTACATATTTTTATTATTTTTACTATTTGCCAAGTTTTATTTGAATCGGTTAATAGAAAGTGGATGAAATCCTATAAACCGGTTTCAACTCAAATTAATCACCCTGAGAGGTGGAATATTTTCATTAAATTTGAATGGGACCACCAAGGTACTTCTTTAAAAACAAAATCGGTTCACAAATGTCGGAGTATATGTATTTTTCTTTTTTGTGTGTATGGAGTAAACATACACACAAAAAAGAAAAATACATTCAATTCTCTTTTTTAGAAGTCGCTCAAAAATACGCACTATCGGCACACATTACTGAGTAGTTAGCTATTAGGTGTGTATAGTATGCCTCATCTGGGAATCGAACCAACTAAATGTGAAAAAAAAACACTGTATTTCATGTTGCCGATCGAAAGGGTCAATTTCTTATAAGTAACATAGTATCTTAACTTAAAGGAACACTACGCAATTTTACACCATTTACACCACACATTTAAATTTTGGAAAATATAACGTAATTTACTGTGAATATTCGTTACTTACTCTTACAAAATTAAAGTTTATGCTTTCACAGGGATTCGAAACATCGGCTCCATATTGAAAAGCAACCATTCTCCCACTGGGCAACCACAGGCTCTTTGGTAAAGAATGAAAAGAAACTCAACGATGAAATACAGTTTACTATGTTGTCTCTAAGAAATACAAAAACTTGTGAAGTTGTTTTTTCCAAAAATACAAGAAATTGTGATGTTTTTACACGAGTAAGTGATCGTATCCTTGGTTATAAAAGTACTTTTGTCACAAGAACGTCATAAAAATAATACTAACGACATATCTTATATGTCAAATTTTATAGCTCTTCTAAAAAGAAAATGGCGGGCTTTTGAAGTTAGAAGTACAGTTTTTTTTATTTTAAGTATATTATGCAGAAAATACGAAAAAAGAAATAGTGATGAAGAAAGTTAGAACTATATTCCTTATTTTAAAACAAATTACAGAAGACAAATCCTGAAAACCGATAGTATTGAAAATTCCACATTTTCAAAATGACAATCATGAGTCGAGTTCTTAGATTCCCGCGATTGTTACACGTAGGAAATGAAACGGATTATTTTTCGATTTCGATAGTTTCATTTCCTATGACAATCATGTGATTTAAGTAAAAGTGAAAACATAATTGACTCCCGCCGCTTAAAAGACTATTTAGAAAACCCAAACAAGAGAACCTAGTTATTTAAGAGAAAGTGAAAACATAATGTATTACAACCACAGTGGAAAATATTTATTGAGGATCCCGATAATTAAACGAACACATGGCTCAAAGGACTTGTAGCCAAGCCAAAACTATTAATAAAAAATAAAGCTCTTCTATCTAAGCATAAAAAAGGTTATCGGCTAATTTTGTTTGTAGAATCATTGAACATCGCATTTAAAGTTGTCATTTTGCAGATGTGGCCTTGTTACACCAAAAGAAAAATTATGTAAATTTAAATTTTTGCACTGTTTTAGTGAGACGTGCTGTACATAAATTGTTTGTAAACATTTATATAATCGCTACTTACGCAAATAAAATAATTTCATTCATTCATTCAATGAACAATTCATTCATTTATTATCTATATTCAAAAAAACAGTAATGAAGCTGTGAAATTCTATAAAAAAATTTGAGCCAAAAGTCTTATTTTTATAGGTCCACTGAGGAGGGTTTGCTATTTTATTATTCGTGCTAAAAAACCGAATAACCTTGCAATTTGTGCGCGTTCGACAAATCAACAAAAAATATAGAACGATGTTTTTTAAAATTTCTCTATGGTCCCTACCATGAAAAGTTAAAATAGAAAATTTCCATTTTTTAAGATATTTTAAAATCGCTTGAAGAATTTTCAGTCATAATTATCGAGAAAAATATATCGTGTGAGATTTTCCAAAATAGAATGAGAGCTATGGACAACGTTCACAAGATGGGAGATTTCCTATAATGGGGTAATTACTAATTATTGTCACGATCGTGTACTGTTTGACGTTTTTCTCTAAAATAACAGTTGTCATTCATTGACATTTTGTGGAAAGAACATCAAAATATACACGATTGCAAAATTCGTAAACTTTGTAAACCCTACTCATATTTGTCTCTATCGAATTTCAAAATGTATAAGGATTATGAAAGACAGTGATTTCCTACGCGAGTGTCTACCTTAGGCCGGCTTTTTCACAATATTGCAAAAGCATCTGCTACATTAAGCGGCTCACGAGGTTATACATATACACAGATTCTATTTTTTATGTTTCACTGTACCCCTAGCATGAATTTACAATGTGTCAACTCTATAGTCTTAGTGTATCAACACTACACTCAGTGTAACAACAGTGTACACTCAACGTACATATTAACACTACACTCAGAATATCACCAGTGTACACACTGAGTATACCAACAGTGTACACTCAATGTATTAACACTACACTCAGAATATCACCAGTGTACAAACTGAGTATACCAACAGTGTACACTCAATGTATCAACACTACACTCAGAGTATCAACAGTGTACACTCAGTGTAACAACACTATACACTGAGTGTACCAACAATGTACGCTCAAGAGTATCAACAATGTACACTCAGTGAATCAACACTGTAAAAAAGCTAGCAACTAAGTCATTTCAGAATTTTGTATGGCAAAACATCGCAAGGATTTAAATATTTCAATACGAAATACGTTATGAGGTCGCAAGCGACAATCGACACAATAAATTCATGAAAGAGCCACAGAGTAAAACATACAAATTTCAGTCCCAGGATTGTCAATGTGTACATAAAATAATATCAGTCTATGGGGAAAAAACCAGTTAAAGGTGGTTAATGGCCAGTAAACGCCGAGCCTTTTTTACAACCAAACTATTTTGAGCCCTCCTGCTGCCGCTGAGTACAGTAGACACTAATGGTTTTGTTACGTTTTACAGAAATATAGCTTAAAAAAAGACGGCATAAACAATAAAAACTCTTACACCACACACATTTATTTAAAAAAAGTCATTCGCACCTAACTACTTTTGTGCACAAAAATCAAATCAGCCATTACTGATAATTATTTAAGTTTTTAAAATTTATAATTATATATATTTATAATTTATAAACTCGCTACCATAAAATTTACTATAAAAACAACAAAAAAAAAACAACTATTCATAAATTTCAACTAGTCGATCAAATTAACTTCAAAGCATGGTTATGGTAATACTAACTCTTTGGTAGAACTAAAGTCTTATTTTGTACACCGTACAACTGATTACTATTTTTCTTAGAATCTGTTTTTTAACTATAGGATGACAAGGATTATACGTGTCGTTACGTTTTGGATAGTCCGGACGGAATGCGACCGCGTATTACACAATAGCGTATCACACGATCGCGTATCACACGATGGTGTATCACACGATTGCGTATCACACGATTGCGTATCACACGATTGCGTATCACACAAACGCGTATCACGTATTTTGCGTCCAAACTCGCGTCAACACTCGAACCTTAAAGACACGCTGTTATAATGTAGATTCGAATAGTACATTACTTCAATTTTGTTTTTAAACGAATTTCCTTGTTATACTATAGTTTAAAATTTTTTATTTAATATTCTAAGTACAACAAATGAACCACTTGCACAATATACAATTCAATCTTTAGCTAAAATATCCATTTCATTGGCAACACTGCCTAAAAAACTTCCCGACTGATTTAATTGGTCCGACACCCCTAAAACACAAATTTACATGTCTTTTTTTCGTTACACTTTGCTTCTCGATTGCTATTTTTTTATACACAGTTTGTTATTATGCTAGTTATTTTTTTGCCGCGGCAACTTGATCATATTGATGACGAAATGAGCACTAAATAGTGTCTTCCACTGTATAATTTCGAGCCGCACCAGAAGTATGCACAACTGTACCATTTACCATACCTGTGTCTGTACCATGAGTTTACAGCGACGTTTGTGATCACGAAATATATATAACAATATTGTATATTTATACACAGTTCACGACAAGAAATAACATTTTGTTCACAAATATTTCTCACACTCGCTAGCGACAACTGTCATTGTGAACTCGTGGTACAAATACTGCACTATTTACTACACCTGTACCATTAGTATAATTCAGTTACACCTGTATGGATGTTGAAACAAGGAATCCTTTTAAATCGCTTATGAAATGTTCGATCTATGGATCGTTTTTTGTAGAATTAAATAATGTTCAAAAATGAATCTTGAAAGTCTTATAAATTGCCAAATAATTTTGCTATATTCTAAAAAAAATATTGGGAACTTTGTACAGTTTTCCACTACATATTTCACCTGTTGTAAATCTACGTAGATTTAGGTGGAGGAGAGCATGGAGATTAGCAACACAGGTTTTTTCCTAGTGTAAACTCCAGCTCTCGCAAAGGAATCTTTTGATATTATTGTACCAATACTTTTGTACTTTTGTAGATTTGTATTTGTACGTTTACACAATTTTTATTCGGTGTATCAGTACAGGCCTACATGGTGCAGGTGTAGAACAGTAGGTGGTTTAAGCATAACAAGCTATGGTATATTAGAAAGTACGGATTACACCGAATAGGTACAGGTGAAGACGATCCAGGTATAACTCGCCAGTACACAATTGGAAAACAAAATCTCACACCCTTCTCATTCACTATAATCAAAACCCCGAAACCAGTTTTTAAATATAATTTCTTACTAGTATTCGTGCTCGGCCATCCCGTTGTTTTGCGTTTGCCGCTGACTCTGATCCTGGTTCTGGTCTCTCTTCGTCTGCTGACCTTTGCCCTGCCCGATTTGTCGCGAGGACGAGAAGCACAGCTTCATCACGAACGGGAATTTTGCGCCTGAAATTGTTTCCATGAAAAGCTTTCAGACTTCTAATAGATTTATTTTTTAAATCACAGCGACAGAGTTATAAATGTAATTATTAAATAAGTTATGCTTAACCTACCTATCTATTTATAATAAGATCATTTTGTGTTAACTTAGTGATATATGCACATACATAGTGAATACTGCTACTCGTAACTACTTAATTTTCACTTGTCAGACGTGACACATTATAAACCCCTTCAGAATTTCAGTGTCTTGCTATGTAAAGGGTTTTCTATCAAAGACGGGTAGATTTTGACAGTTCATAGCGGCTATGTTGTTGAGGCTTCATTTGTCAAATCTGTTGTTTATTTTTCAGTCACTAAAGACAAATAATTATGGCAAGACACGGCGTCGAGCAACACGTGCACCTCATGTAGTTGTTGTCGACAGTTTTATCGATGGATATTTGTCCGGTCTTTGTTATAACAAAAATAATTCATAAATTGTAAATCTAAAATACCGGGGTGCTGGATGGTGGCGTGGTTACAGGCCATGATCGCCATCACGGACTGCGATATGTTCTGGAACTCCATCAAGCCCGACGAAGACCTGGAATGGATATGTTCAAAACAGTTAACAATATTGTCCCGTTCATCACGTCGTCTATATCGATACTATTTATCAACAGCACTAACACTAAAGGTTCGTACCAGCCCGTATGTATACCCTATTGGTAAGTGGGAGAGAGAGCGTAATATCGCTATCCCGCTCCGACCGAGTCTGCAGCGAGTTAAAAATCTTTCGAGAATTATTTTATTGTAACATTTTTGATGCATGAAAATAAGAGATAATATAAAATAGTAGTAACGTTTATATTTAAATTAATAAGAATAGACAAAGCAATTAAATTAACATCTTTTAATATCGACTTAGTACACAGCCTTATTCAAACTTTATTAAAAAAAAATCAAAATTAAACAAAATATTTTTTTTCGAAGCAGAAATAGCTCAAATTTTAAAAATTGTAAAATTTAAATATTAATTAAATCAAACTTCAAAAACTTTTTACATGAATGCAAACTCAACCTCGAACCACAGCTGAACCACAAATCAGAGTTAGAAGGAAATTAAAACAAATTAATGAAAAAATGACACTCGAAAATTTTTTTATTTTCAAATTACACCTAAAATGAAAAAGCAAATAACCGACCATACCAGACTTTTTATAAAAACACTGCCATTATTTTGGGGAGTTTAATAATGTTCTGCTTGATGTGCTGGTCATGTGTAGTATTATGTTTAGGATTTTTTAAGGAAGAGATTTTCGGTTTTTTTTTTATACCACTTTTCCGCAAAAATTATTGATTTAACTATTTAACAAAACATATTCAAATTAACGCAACGATAGGTCGTTACAAAAACAAATATACGCAATTTAGGTTCCAAAAAATGTTCATTTGCAATTTTTTTTGTGTTGAGCAGTTTTAAAACGGACCTTTCACTTTTCAACGGGAATTTGGAGATAGTGTGAGGTGGTGCAACGCCGTAGTCCTTGAACACCTGCAGCAGCTGATCGTCTGACACATCAGGCGGCGTGTTGAAGAAGTGCAGCACCTGGAATTCACACGTGTCCAATGTAAAAACAAAAACAGTACACATTTGTAACTACAGCTGACAAAGAATCTTCATTCTCCAATCAGAGACTCAATGCAATTTCTTAGCCTCTATTACCATACATCAAATGCTTTCTCTGATTCCACTATTATTTTGACATAATGGATAGTAAATAAGTACTAGCCATCTTATGACACTATGCAATATTGAAAAATTATGGTGAAATTCAATGTGAGGTGCAGATGTAGATCGGTACAGATGTAGACGATCAGTATAGGTTTAGATCAGTAGAACTGTAGATAAGTACATATGTAGATTGGTACAAGTGTTGATCGGTACAGGTGTAGATCGGTACAGCTGTAGATTGGCATAAGTGTGAATCGGTACAGGTGTAGATTATACATATTGAGGTACAAATTATTTTAAAATATTGTACGGTGGTTGTTCATGTTTCAATGCACAAATGTTGTTTTACCTTAGATGGCGGCTGTATCCTGTTCTTGTGTATGGAGGCCGGTGTAAGGAAGCGGTTGTTCTTGTTGCCCATATAATCTTTGAACGAGGGGCTCTTGTCCGGTAGCGGATAGGGGTTCATCACCTCCGAAAGGTATGCTTGCTTCGAGAAACTGAAAACGATATCATTTTCTTTTTTTAGTAAAGGACAATAATTCTACAGTGTAGGTATAAGAATTTCTTTTGAAGACATTGTAAACATTTTCATTTATTTATTTTATATTAAATATCAATATTATCTTTTGTACTTTATATAATATTGTGACACTGATAATATGTCAATGAAAGAAATAATTTATAGTACTGATTCATATAAATAATATGTTCTTCAAGAAAAGATTAAAAGATCAAAATGATAATTCTTTTATAATCTTTTCATTCTTTGCTACAACATGTATTTAAATGTGTTGTCAATGTAGTCAGATTATGTTGCCATTTCATGCTGCTGTCTAAGTGTTGAGATAGTTCACACTATACATATATACTTCGTTTCAATCCAATTTCAACAAAAACAAACAAGCCACTGACCCGACCATAGATGGTTTAGTGATGGTCAATTGTAATGCCAACTACAAATCGATTAGTTCAATTGAGTCATACTAGCGGTTTTTCCTACATAACCTATATAAGCATATTTAAAATTTCAGAAATCCTAATTTTAAGTCTTCCTCCAAATCTTTACACTTAGATACTCGTTCGATTGGGTTTGAAATATTCTATTTACTAATCGATTACAAAAATTTTCATTGAATGAACCGAATATTTTTTCGTACAGCACTATACAACCATAGACAAGTCATTGATGTACAGATGAAAAATAACCTCACTTTTGGACTATCAGTTTTCAAATCCAATTTTACGATGCTATTCAAATAAATATTGTTGGAAAAAGTGATGAGATATCAAATCGAATTCTTTGAAATATACGTGAAAGTGTTACTTATTCGATTTATTGAGTGATTGCTTTAGAATTTTAACCAAACAGTTTTGTTTACTTCTTGTTGAAAATGGATTGGAATGGATTCATATATATATGAATATAAAAAAGAAATTCAAATTAATTTATAATAATAAAATAATAATAAATTAATTAATTTGAATTTCTTTTTTCAGATTGACTTGAAAAAGGAAAAGTTTTCAATTCGACAGCATGTTTTTGTGCATGTCACGTGATTACTCAGACATTGTGAACCGGTTGCGATACTTCTTTTTTAGTTGGAAACCGCAGTAGTGGTCCCTTTCAAAGAGCAATGGCAAAATCATAGTTAAAAGAATACGTTAGCGTCTTCAAATGTCTTAATTACAAGTTTGAATAAAATAAATTAATTCGGTTTCTCAAATTATAATAGCGGCCTATCTAAGTCTGGAAATAAAATCAAATTTCAATGAAACTCTAATGACTAATTAATATGTAATCGGACTGATATCTACAACTATCAGTTACTTAACGTTGAGCGACATCTAGCCGTCAATAAAGGAATTTTAGAACCTACGTATAGATCTGGTCCACATTTAGTTCACGTAATATCAAATAATAAAAAACAAATGTTACTAAACGTTATAACAAAAGAGTTATAGAATGTTTTTTTAGTATTGCTAAGGTCATAATAATTTTCGTCCCTTTGTTTTCAAAATCGATCAGAATCGAGAACAGTGTTGCCTGACGTATACATCACTAAATGTTAAATTTGGCCAAAAAAAAAATATAATACAACAACGGTCGAGCGCGTTCTGAATTGTAGCAGCGGCAAGTAAGGGAATTTCACTTACTTTGGGCACGCGAAGTACGTACACTTGCGGCGTCTATCTAGATATATGTCTGTGGATTAACTACCTCATTACAAAAAATAAAATTGATAATTTCTTCTCCAAAGTGCCGAGTTACAAGTGCAATAGTCTGTGGTGTGTTATTAAGGACTATTTAATTCCAACATTATTTAATGATCTTCCTTCACACTTAAAATGTTTGCAAGGTAATAAAAGTTACATAAAAAATGAATTAAAGGAATATTTGTCAGATACATTGTAGTAATTTAGAGAGCTGTAATTGAGTAACAGAATGAAATGTTATGTGATTGTAATGTAAGAATAAGAATAAGAATAAGAATAAGAATAATGTTTATTGACATCACAAACACACAGAAATACAAAATACTTTACATATTTTCATTTTTAAAACAAGAACATGATACTTATGCTAAATGAACATTAAGTGTGTGTTAGACATTAACAAAAACATGCATTGTTAACGTGATGCCAAGCCTGAAAACATTGTGAGTCATTACAGGTGGTCCCACACTAGGCTAAGCCTGTCCTGTGGCGACCTTTTTACGGCTTCAATTTACTCGTTACGTTACCTACGATTATATTACACAAATAATAAGAACTTAATCTATTAAATCTAACATAAGAATAGGAATTATTATTACAATAGCATGAATTTAAAATAATTGTGATTAACATATTAGTACAAAAAATAAGTATTTATATTTAACAATAATAATTACCAACTACTAAGGTGCTTCACGGGAATGAAAATCGATTTTTTTTTTTTTTTTTTATGTAAGTTTAATGTAAGCGTAGCAACCAAACTCTCCCGATAAACTTTTATGATGTTTGGGAGAACATTATCTTATTTGTAAAAAAATGTAATTGACAAGATAAATAAATTAAAAAAAAAAGTAACTCTGTTGCCTTTTGACCATACCAGCATACAAAATAATTTCTTCTGAACTTTCGCCACGTCACAAACCCACAACACCATTCCGCTTCTATTAACTCTGTTTGAGGTTTCTAAGGTTTATTTTGATATAATAATACACCGAGTAGGTATATTTTATTCAATTACGTAAGAATATATTTAATTACTGACTTCTCAGAATATTTTCACATATTTTTCACAAACAGACGCATACAAATTATGTCAACAAAAATTTATATGGGAATTTGTCCTTTGAAGAAAATATTCCACCTCCAAGAGTGGCTAATTAGGGGGTAAATTCGGTTTATTGGATTTCACACACTTTCCTTAATCCGATTTTAATAAAAACTAATTCCACACCGTTTTGATGTAGGATGTTTTATAAAAAAAAAGTTACAATTGTCGCTTTTTAGTGTGATACTGTCCAAGACCGACGTTCTTATGCATTTATTTCTTTTTTTTAAATATAGTTACTGGTTTTTAAGTTTTTATTTATCTATTGTTTTTGTAAGCTGTGTCCACTCATAATTAGTTGTGTAATTAAATAAGATCTTCACCACTTTTCATTTATCGTATGTAATTGTACTATTATCATTACAAGTAAACAAATAAAAAAGAAAAATCTAAGTAATCTATTTTTAACATGTATGGCTTCATCATTATCATAATATTTTCATTATACCAACACGAATGTCAAAATATTGACGTCATACTCACGCTAATCTCAAAATATTGACGTCGTACTCACGTTAATGTCAAAATATTGACGTTGTACTTACGCTAATGTCAAAGTATAGTCGCCAACAGTGACATTGTTCAGGTTCTGCACGCATCGCTCCACGGAAGCAGCGTCGCCCATTTGCACCATCGCAGTGCCTTCTTTTGTCTTCAAGAATTTTATCTGGAAATACAATTTTTTGGATTTACAAGCGAACATCGGTTGTGCCTGCAACTCACGCTTACTACAGAAGATTTTTTCATTAATTTCTTGAAGAATTCATCTACTAGAATTATTTTCATTTATTTATTGAAAAATATCAACTGTTTATATATTTATTTTATTTTTTGTATATATTACAAGTCTATGCTAGTACCAATTACAGATCTTTCTAGATAAGTCTTATAATTATCTCGCAACGAACAGAATGTATAATATACGCTGTGGTAAGATTAATAGCAATATATTATACATATTGCTCGAACACAACAGTTTTAAAAGTGAAAAAAAAAAGAAATAAAAAATGACAATTTAAAATTTACGCTTCAGTGCTTTAACATCATTCACATAAAAGATAATGGGTGGCCTTATTCGTACACAGGTACAACCAGACATGGTACACAATCTACAATTCCCACCAATTCCCTTAACAATTGAATCAGTCACAACCCTTGCTACCTCTTTATCCAATACCTAAAACGCCATTTCAACTTTTTTTTCACGTCAAAACCTATAAAGGGAGGTCTTATCTAAAAGTACTCGAACTTGTATCTCGGGGGAATTGAACCCGAAACCTTTTTAAACTTAATTCTAGTTCCTAATGATTTGAGTCACAATTTTTTTTAACATTTTTTTTGTATACTGAACGATATGTTAGAAAAATATCGCAGTATGCTGTGAGGTCTACGACGATATAACTGGAGAACTTTCTTGATTGAGACGTTGAGGCGGTTCGAATCCGTGTGGCGGTACTTACATATGACTTAAATTCTGCTCATCAGTGAGATGTATAATAGGCATGAATGAACATGTTGGCCAACGTGCTCGGCAATAAGATGTAGTGAGGTATACAACTTACTCTGACAACGTTGCCGTACAAGCAGCACAGGTTGAAGAGGCGATCAGCGTTGGCAGTCTGGGGATCCAGTCCGTACACCATCATGACAGCGCCTTGCTGTGGAGGACCGCCCTGAAATGGTTATTTATTTACAATCAATAACTTTATAAACAAAGGATACATCGTACGATAGATGATGTAGAGACATATAAACCATATTTGTATTGCAAAAACGAGCTATTCGTTCTGTGTACCGTTCAGGTTATCGGGTTTCTCTCCGAGAAATTCTGAGGAGATTGGTACCATGACTTTGGCATCACAGTACGTTTATTCAAATATTTTATATGTCCGTAAAAATATACATAATTTCATTAAGAAAGAAAATATTCATAATATTAACCTTAGAGAGCTAGTCCAAACTCAGGGTACCACGATTTCGTTTAACGAAGGTAAACGACTCTTTTATAAGGAACAGTATACATTTTTATAATAAGACTCCGGGGCATTCATTGTTTGTAAGTCAAAGGGGACATTCATTTACTATGTTTAAAACCTACATTAGAAATAATTTTAATTGAAAAGTCATATTACAAAATTGAAGACTACGTGTTAGATAAAGATGTATAGAAAGACGGTATGGCTCTAGATTCCTAGATTCAAAGTGCATTTCTATAGCATTTAAGTTTATTTGAAAAGAACAATCCCTAGAGTTTCATGTTCGTTATTCTCAGGGAAATCAGCATAGTGAAGCAGCAGTAGCTTAAAAGTGAAGTTTTCAAGTGTACATTTATTTTATCTATGGAATAAATAATTATTTCACTTTAATATTTTGTGCGTCTGGTGTGAAGCGACTCGTTTATCCATAACAGTTGCAGTGCCACTCAGAGCTCCAAATCGCAAAAATCTAAGGGGCACTGTCTTTAGCACCCTTAACGGCTCAAAACACACACACATACACACAACATTACTGCTCGGTGGCAGAACTTCCTGGACATACTGCTGCTCTACTGATATTTGTACGCGATATCAAGTCGCACTGGAAGACAAACAAACAAAAAACACTCTTTAGCTTCGTCTTAGTTGAATGCAAGGAAATTTTGACCCTTTAATGCGTTGACTTACAATTATATGGAGGTCGGGTCCGCGCTAAAAAGTGTCCGAACTTATAGGGCGTTAAAATCGTATACAGAGCGTCATTCACGCTTTAGTCTTCGTTTGTTCGACTGACAGCGAAGCAAGCAAAATTAGACAGTACTGCGATGACATTACAATTTAAATTCAACGTTTTAGCTTTTTCATATACATACCTTTACATGTCACTACGTTTAAATAGATTGATTTGGGACATTTTTTTCGTGGTTTTTGTATTAGACCCGTCGTCCATTTATTTGTAAGTGAATGCTTTAATGGCATAATCCTACCGATTCTGGTTAATTAGTGTAGCAGTTGGTCTAGCCAGACAAACTGCAACTCCAATGTGGGCTGATATTGTTGTGTTAGCTCTTGATACAAATTTTCATCCCACCAAATTTCGTTTCAAGGTTACTACTAACCATCGATAAGAAATCTCTTTAGCGTCGAGTGGTTAGTTATTTCCGTGTCCTATAAAATACCTCTTAACATTTAATTTCTCTCACTAACCTGGTTCTGTGGCGGCATAGACGGGTGGTGCATTGGTGGCGGCGGCACGAATCCTTCGCCTCCGTAACCTTCCGGTCCGTATCCACGGCCGTCACGCTGTGAAGAAGGATTAGCTTCTGATTATCGCCTTTTGTAAAGGTTCCGTTGTCACATTACGAACCATTAGGTACAGCTTTATCGTATCTGTTATATATCCCACCCCCATTTCCACTTTCGTCCTACGTGACTGCCAGAATCTAGCTATGTTTATCGGGTTTAGATTCAAGGTTTTATTAAAATGAGATCATGGTCCGAGACTCAAGAGTATTGCTAATCGCGACACAAGATGGCGTAGTCGGGTATTAATACCTATTATTACACCAGGTGTCGCGACGAGTAGCAAATAGCTACTTTTATAACTTATTTGTTTAACATTGACAAGCTGCAATTTATGCAAGCTATTCTAATTCTTAGTGATAGCAAACAAATCAACTAGATGGCGCTTATTGCCGGCTTTACAAAAGTAATCCTAAACAGAATAAAAATACTGTTTATTTCGGATTAGCGCCATCTACCTCATATTAGAAAGCGTTAATTTATAAATTAGTTTGTGACACACAATGCCATCTATTGACACGAATATTTGTCAAAGTTCAGTAAATAACTTAATTTCATTATCAATATTTGTAAAATATAACAAAAAGGAACGGACTTCTTATGTTTCATAATAAAGAGGAATTCATTGACATCCCCGGCCATTTACAAATACAAACTACTTCCAGGCTTTTGATCAGCGCCATCTAGGTCTTTATTATGACGGTATTTTGAGCTTTTTCACAGTTACAACCTGTACTATGGTATCCGCTTGTGTTATTGGTCTATGAAACGATCTAATACAGAGTCCGTCGTTTTTATTTTTAATTAAATCTAAAAAGCCTTCGAAGGCATGTGCAGTCCTCAAGCCACATTCAGCCAGAGCGGTGTTAACGAAAAAGTTGACGTATGTATACATTGATACTGAAAAAAGTTGATGTTACCGGGTGATGGGGCGGTGGAGGCCCGTGTCTCTCTTTCATCATCCCCGGGGGCGGAGGCCCACCGCTTCCATATTCCATGTCTGGAAAAAAACAAATAATGATTTAAAATACTGTCTATCCAAACTATTCAGAACCAATATAAAGTTGCACCTACAGTTAAGCAGATAATTATTATAGAATTTGTCAAAATTCTACAATGGTAATTCTAAGAACCACCACGGTAGATCTCTGCTTTTCCACACTCATCATTGTAATTTTGTAAATATCTAAGTTCTTTTAACAAATTGTACACATGTTTACCTATTCTTTTGCTTAATACCATCGTCGCTCTTTCTTTCTTAACATCCGTGTTTGACATTTCTGTTGAAACTGTGGAAGACATACGAAGTTTCAAAAGCACACTTTTTCAATTATGGTCATATAACTGTTTTTATATGTAAACATCTCGTTCATAAAATAAGTTCCGTATGGGCTCAAGATGTGAAGTGCTTAAGAGAAAAGTTATAACCCTGAAAAATGCTAGTAATTTCATAAATTTTCATATACTACATTCAATTACGACGACGACCTCCGTGGTAGAGTGGCTTGCACATTCGACCACGCTGGCTGTAGACCTGGGTTCGATCCCCGGCCGTGTCGATGTAGAAAACTAACCTTTCTACATTGTCTCGAATACCATTTGTGGTACCGTCATTGCTTCCGATTTCCGTAACATACGTGCTTTAGTTATTTACTTTGGGATCAGAGCAACGTATATGTTGTCAAATATTTATTTATTTAAATAACTGGTAGAATTTTGACAAACGAAAAATCGTGTGAAATTTTTAAATTTGACGCTCCTTACTAATTATGCACACGAGACAATCTCATTTATATAACCAATAAAGTAGACATTGAGCCCCAACTTCAAGTATACACTCTGTCAAAATTATACAAACACTTAAAATTTTTGACAAATTGTATAATTGAATTTGTAGTCAAATGTATGGATTTTAATATTTCAAAAACAGGGATAATTAATTACATGCAGATGTTAGAAAAGATTGTAAAGTGTTCATATAGAGGATTCGTTATCTAACTAGATGTTTTAATCGGTTACTTTATCTACTCGTGAACACGTGTGTAACGTCGAAAACTAAAGTGGCTTCACCTATGCCGCAAATCTGACTTTGGTTTGATATGTGTGTGTCGAGAGACAACCTGCACACTCCGCGTGGGAGCAAACAGAGCGACAGTGTGTCTCTATCATACAATTTATCATAATTCCCACTTTATTCTATATCGCGTGGATTTCAAATTTGGTATTCACGAGTAAATTAAGTCCTCAGCAACTTTTTGAAACACTGTGTATATTTGTATTCTAGGAACATATTGTAAATGAAAGTCTGTTGCAGTGTAAAAGTTTTATTTGTAAATTAAATGTAAAGTAAATAAAAAATGTACATATGTATTAAGAATGTAGTTTACATACAATGTATAATAGTATACAGGATGTGAACGAGATCCAATGTGTTATGTCGTCAGAATTCAGTTGAAATTATGTAGTTATACGATTATTACACATCCTATAATCTATTTTTTTTATGAATGATATACAGTATAAAAAGTGTGTTCGAAAGTATAGTAAACTTTAATTTAGAACGTTGACAATATTGTTATTGTGTTTACTGGTTTTTCGTACCTATAGAGGATTATTATCAAAATCCTTCCTTATCGTCCTCTCCGGGTGGGGACTTCAGGAAAAATAAAATAATGTAATGCAGATCCCCCTGAGAAGAATGAATAATTAACCATAAAAGTTGCTTTTTGTAGATAGACATTTATCATGATTATCGTTCATGATATTTATTTTAAAATATCATAGGTAATAGCAATCTCAATGAGCTAAACTTATGACTGACGCCCAAGTATTATAAACCTTAAGTAAAAAGTTTTTTGTGTTATGATAAACGTAAGCCTCATAAATAACAAATTTTGAATATCTTATTATATGTCCTGAAAACCCCACTACACAATTCTAGCTAATTCGGGCATCCAATAGACAAGAAGAAACTCGAAAAAAATTTTCACTTAAACTTAGTTTACAAATATTTTATACCTATATAGTAAATTTCCTGGGTAATATTAGATTTTGTGAAGTGGATGGCATGTGATGTATTTTCTAATGTTACCCACAAATGCTTTTAAATAATAATTAATTTTCAACAGTCGTCGTCGAAGTAGGTAATTAGCAAAATAATATCTAACTTATTGTTTTTTTTTAATTTGTTCTAGTAGTTCTTATGAACGAATTAGCTAGCACAATGTTGGGGATTTTGGGAAAATATCCTCACCGGAGCGGACGGTCATTGGTAGTGTGGTCATAATCAATCAAGGTTCATGTAGTCGGCTGTAGTAGATTCAACGTGACCACAAATTCTTGTTGTGTGCGGATAGTGTTTGTTTTGTTTACAATTAATTATGTTTTCTGTTGAAATTGTTAGAATAATATGAAACTTTTGTACATTTGAGTTGTATTAAAAAACAAATACAAATTGTTAGTGTTTTGTTCTTCAAACTAGGGGTCCCACTCTCGCAGCATGAATGAAGCCGATGATACGGCAATTTTCCTACTATGACCGACCTTCGAAGTTCGTCAGCGAAAAGACGGGCCCAAAAACGAAATGACGGGTCATACATTCTTAGTTGTAGCCCCGATCGAAACTCAAGTCCATAGGTCGTCCATAGTGGGAAAACTGCCGTAATTAAGTACGTATTTTGTGCTTCGAGAGTAGGGCCCCGATATAGAAAGGCATAACAATTGTTATAGTTTTGTTATATTTATTTTATTCAATATAATGATGATGACGTTTTTATTGCCATGATATTCAGACGTTTAAAAATATATATATTCCACTTGTTATTATTGATTCAAAGATCGAATAAAGTTTTTCGTACCCTATTAATTAGTATTAAGAGGGAGCAGAGGAAAAATTCCTAATCTTCGATTTGATTTTAGAGGGGTATATCCACTTTAAAGTTAAAAATAAAATATTGTATGAGGAACTACACGATATATTCAAGCATAGACATAATCAGAAACATAAACAATAAAGTTTCCTCGTTAGATAAAAATCACGAAATGACCTCTAAATCTCACATTTTTTCGATTTATCCTGAAATGCTACAGGTTATTAGGACAAAAATTAGATTAATATTTATGTATGATCGACAACTGTCACTACGGATTTTTTAAATCCCTTTAGTTTTATACTTATTCCGCTAAAACGAATTTGGTACTTTTAATGCGCTAAATTCAACATCTCCTGTCGCATGCCACGCGAACTTCAGGCATATATTTGTTTCACAAATTTGGGCGGAGCCAACGTCAAAACTTTTTTGGCATGCTCCCTCGTAAGTGGTTTACCAACAAATTATATGAGTCAATGTTACTTGAAATAAATAAATAATTATTATATGGCTACAAAGTCGTATAAAGTGAGCCGCAATATAATACAAACAGACGAAAATTATTGTTGCAAATTGACCCTTGTTTACATGAGGTTCTCACAGGAATATCGTATTTAGACAATACATCTATGTGCGGCCTATTGGACCTATAACGAACGCAAAGTGGCTGTGACAGGTAAAATTAGACCTACGAGCATTTGCACACTACGTCCAATTCCCATTAGTTCCGCATCCGAGAAATGGCGGTTCGAAATGTCACAGGGATCATTTTATCTCTAAGTGTACAAGCGATCGTATTGTCTCGGATTCATATCGGACTTAGTGCACTAGCGACAATCGAAGTGGGTCCGAGTTTTCTAGATTTGCAGTTTCGGATGCGGAACAAATACGAATTCTCTTTCATACGTTTGTCCTCTTGTGTACAATAAACATAATGTACAAACAGGGATTAAATAGTATACTTTTACATCGTGTTATAAGTAAAGTAAGTTTTGTACAGTCACAGCCTCGGAGTTATTCGGGTTTTACAAAAATTGCGTTTTAAAATAAGTAACTTGATTTTGCGTCATGATAGTAGTATAAGGTTTAGTATCGGTTAACCCGTTCTTGGACAGTATTTGAATAGCACCCCACACAAATGTCACCACTTTTCTAGTCCTGGTGCTTCTACTGTTTCAATAAAGTGTTCAATGTATTTGCATTCAATATAAAATGTTCAATACGAAGAATTGAATTATTATACTTGTCTATGAAGAAGCTGTAGGCGGCAACAACTCAGAAACCACTTTGAAATGGCACTTTAAAGTCTGTAGTTGTTTTTTTGAGATCCAAGTAACGAAACCGAGTACCCCGTAATAAGTAAACAGGGTACGTAATAAAATCAAAATTACATACATAAGGGTAAATTGAAATGACGAATTTCTCAACAATAATTATATTCGTGTATTCGTGTAAGTCTCGAATAATTCCGAGGCTTGGAGTTTAGAAATAATAATGTACAGTAAAATAGGAATAGGCCATGTACATTACTCATCGAGGTTTAGAAAAAGACGATCGGTTGATTTCGGCTTTGCAGAGCAGCAGCTCTAGTTTGTTAGCTGTGCAACGGAAACAGCGCTCTACAAATCCGACGACAGCCGATTATGGCCGATGATCTTTTTGTAAACCTCGCTGTGTACATACATAGTAGTTGTTTCGTATGTCTTGCACGCAAGGAACACACACAAACGTAAACTAGCATGTATTTAAGTACCTAAGTCACACACTAGGTTAGTACTAACACAAACACAATTATGCTAAAACTAGAGTTAGTTTTGTTACATTAAAGGATACAACATAAAAACTTTAGATACAGCGATTTTTTGAAAAATAATAAAGCAAGTTGTACATACTTTTGGTGACAGGAAAATTTTATCAGAAAGTCTAAATGGTATCTACGGGAATGACCCCTGGGGTCTAAGTCGTCTTAGTCGAGTATTACTTATTTGACAGTAATAGTTTTGGATGGAGGACGGGACGACGGGAGTAGACGCCAGGTTTGGGTTGTACACAGCGTGACTTCGAATGGTCTAACATTCTTTTTTTGTTCCATACAAGTGTTTATTTAAATGTATGTAACTGCTGTGTTTTTGTTCATAGAGAGTGCATCTCTTAAAAATCTTGCAGAACTTTAAAGGTTGCAGAGAATACAGAAAATACCCTGTTCTGGGTACTAGAATCTCGAAGTTAAGGCAACGCGCAACCAAAGGTCTATCTACCAAAAAATTAACCCCTGAACAGACAGTACCAAGTGAGGAAAGTAAATAAGAAACTTATTTATTTAAAGGATTATAATTTCATTAAAAGGACCAAATGATTAGCAGCTTATCTCAGCAGTTCTCGAATCTCTGATGGTGTAATAAAATAACGTGAACAAACCTGCACGTCCAAGTAGGTTTACAAAATATTTCATCAAAAAATCGCCTTTTCAAACCATGCTATGTATTGTTACATAAACTACATACACCAATCATTTCAATAACACTTCCTCTTTACATTATAAATGGGGTTTTGACATTCGCGACCACCACCTTACGGTTTAAATCACGTTTTGCAATCCAACTCGCCATAAACCCGACTGTCTCATGGTCTTCGGGGCGCGAGAGGGGAACACGCTCGACCAATGAGAGAACACATTCAACCAATCAGGAATACTCCCGCTTTGCACGTCACATAGGAAGGCGCTGATTGGGTGAACGTTTTAAAGGGCTTCGTGCCACTAGACGCACGTAAATGTTTACTTTGAACACAGTATTTTGATAGTTTACAAGTACTGTTTGACGTCAAGCATACCTTGCAAACGATTAAACATCGATGAAACTTGTTTGAGCCAAGCAAAATTCTACGTACCAGCAAGGGGCCTCAATGTCTAAAAGGTCTAAATACCTATAACTATGATTTATCGCGATTCTGCTGCGAATGCATGAACTAAAATTCAATGGGAATTTGTTTAAGCACAATTTCGCGTGTGGGTGTCAAGATTCAATTTGTGATATCCCCTCGTATTTGGTAAGCAATAATAGTATTTATGTAGATTGCACGTAAGGTGGTGGTCATATAATATCCATTTAATTCCCGTACCATTTTGTGAATGATCACAAGAGTGTTGACTCGACGTTTCTTCACTGCAGGATCTCGAAGACTGCGACGTTGCACTTGACGGATCTGGTAATAGGTAGCACAGTATAGATTTTTTATGGTTTCAAACGGTGAAACATGCGGTCCGCACGATGTAGAACGCTATCCATCCAGACGGACTTACGACCTAAAAAAGGTGGCGTAGATTGGCTGGGTAAGACATCGCAACTTGAGAGTTTATGCCTGGTATTTACACGAATACCCATTACATTCTCGTAGACTTACCATCCATTTGCACTAAGAGCTTTGCTTATACCTGAAGTTAGAATTTAGGGTTATTTGAGGATAGAGTGAATAGGCATTTACTAGATAAATGCGTAATATCGTCGGCCATATCATTTGTGACATAGCGCCAAGCGTTGTTTTTACTAGTTCTGCTATTGGTCGTGTGGAAGTCTTATTAATTTGGTGACCGCGGTGGCCTAGCGGTTTGCATTGTGGGCGCTGGATGATGAGGGCACGGGTCGATTCCCGGCGAAAAGAATGCGCGACCGTTGCAAAAGGCGCCTAGAGGAGTCACCCTATGGCATACGTACCATAGAGTCACTCCGTACCGACTTGTGCAGGTACTGTCCGGCCATGGCTATTTCGGGCAATACCTGCACAGGATCGCTAGGAAGACGTAGACGTCCTGCCATGACTGCGGCGCGGGCGACACGGCGCAGCACACCTTAGATGTGTCCAGCAGATGGAATGCGCAACGCCGTAGTACTCTGGTAGGCACCATAGGCGGAGATATCTGGCTACCTAGCGTAGTAGCCGCCATGCTGAGCAACGAGGAATCGTGCGAGGCTGTGGCCTTCTTCTGCGCAGAGGTAATCTCGCAAAAGGAAGCCGTGGAGCGGGAACGCGAAGACGCGGAAGCTCGCCTTGTTTTCTAGTGAGGCCAGCGGACAGGAGACGGGGACCTCTTTCGCATTGTACGGTCTCGCCCATCTGAGGGGGATGGGTAAAGAGCTGAAAGAATTGATCCTCCCTTCTTTAGCGTGGGAACCGGGGTTTCGTAATGGTGAATCTTCGGGAACACCTGAGCAAGAGTTTCCAATTATTAGTCCCACATAACCTTCGAGTCTCCCTGGGGTTGAGGATGCATAAAACTTTCTTCCCGACACTAAAACTCATGTAAACACGTATATTGGACCGCTCCTCTTGAATGCTCTCTTCACCACTGCCGCTCGTGTTACCATTTTTGTATTATCGATTCTACTTAAATCAAACTGATAATTGGTAATTCGTTAAAATTTGCTATTATTGCAATATATATTTACTACGCTAGTTGCTAGCTTGCCAAAAATATTCTATCAACTGCGAATGCTATGGTTTCCGTGTCACTGAAAGTTTGGCACCATTTAAAAGGGTTGACTTCATAACATTTAACCGTACGAGACAAATAATAACTAGGTACAGTATGGATACACTTTCTTCTCGGGGTACCTTATCCTACCGGAGTTAGATAATATCATGGCAATCTAGACTTCAGAGGCTGCCGCTTTCAAGAGCGAGGCGAACGAGAAACGACCCTAACCATGTTAAGAAAATATATTATATAAAAAAAAGATATTAATCATTATTCCAACCTCAATCTTAATTTTAATTAAATTATGTCACCTTCTTATGTTATACTTATGTACCTTAGTGGTAAAATTTGTTTGTGCCCTGAGTCCCATCCACGGTCGGGACTGAGGCTTTCTCCGTTCACCTACCTCGCCTTGTTTAAGCGTGCCTTGCGACTGCTATTCCGATGGGGGCGGTCATCCGGAGCCCGGCTATCCAAGCTCTGGTTTATACTACCCGTCCACCGCCCTCACGTCCCATAGCTTAGAGCGTTCGTTATGGTGTAGCTGCGGACTCAGCCGGGACGGGAGTCTGAGCTTTTCTCCTGTACTAGTTTGTAAGCTTCTGTCTGTCTTCTTCTCTTTCCTATCCAATCTTCTTTCTTTCTGTCTAAGTTCTTTACTCTTCCCGCTGTCCTCTATCTATGACGGATATCAAATAGTCACGACCCGGGGAAAGGGGACAAGTTTAAACAACCCTATCATAAGTAATAGATAAATAATGTAACTTAGTATGTAACAGTTAAACAAGAGTATAAAAATAAACCTGTTCAGAGGTGTTATTACCAAACATCAGCGATGACTGCCGAATGTAAGTGATAACGGATTATTTTTAATAATCCGGAAACATGTTAGCAGGCATTCGTATTGAATAATACAACAAATTGCTTGTGTACTTCGCAACTTCGGACTAAAATTCTTCTTCACGATAAAATTCACTACTTAAAAATTGTGGGAGTGGAGAGCTAGAAGGTCAGGGTGGAAAGAAATTGAGAGTGTTAGGACGTGGTAAATTGTCAAAGTGCGAGAAATAGCTTATAATAGCAAATTTAAGTAATTTAGACACAATATTATAGTAAATATTAGTTGGAACTCTTTCAAGAATCAGGAAAAGTAGTATAATGAGAGAGATGAAGATGACATGGGTCCGTAGTTTCATACTACAAAGTGTTGCTACAACGATTGTGCTAAATAATGTCCAAGCATCTGAACCATGTTGTAATTAATTACAATCACATGGGATTTGTCCATTTATGCGGGCGGGTGCAGTGGCAGTGCCCCTCAGATCTTTGCAATTTAAAGTTCTCAGTGTGCACTGCAACTGCTATGGACAGGCGTGTCGCTTATCAGCAGACACACCAATTGTTCGTCCCGTCATTAAGTATCATAAAAAAAACAGATTCATTCCATTAACTTTCTTTCAGGTTATAATACTGTATTAGATGTTCATGGATTTATACAAGAAGCGAATTCAAAATAACTCAATACGAGCGTGCTTTTATCGCTCATTACGTACAAACAAATTGCTCATATTGCACTTACAAACTTGCATCAGTGCAAACGGTAAGGTGCTTAATTATAGCTCGTGAATCAACTTGGAAACTGCCTGTGCTATGATTAACAAGTCCATGAGCACACTAAACTTAGGACAGGATATATTTTAGAAAAGTTTTTCTCCTGAATAAGTTTTACCGCGAACCCAACACGGAATATTTAAGGGAGCCTTTAAATTAGACGCTTATAGAAGCGTAAGGCCTTATTCAGATTGGCTGCGGGCGACGGTGCGTGTAAATCAAATGTACGTAGACGCTACTTACGTTCACAGTTGCCACGCGCGCCGGCGCCTGTCTCGAGGCGGGCGGGATCTATTGGTTCGGTCCGGCTGACCTTACACAGTACTTGTCTAGCGTCTGTTTGCGATTTCGACATGTGGATCTACCCGCTCGTAGCCACTAAGACCTGCGCGCCCGCACCCGCCGCCGCGCCCGCGCCTGCACTTTGAATGAGCACTTAACAGTGGCCGCGCGTTACGTCTAAGAGAGTCACCACACTTATTATCGCAGAATCGCAATAACTAGTAAGAAAAAGTTTATGTCCATGAGCGTAAGAGCGAAAAAGACGATGAGTGCATCGATTCGTACGGACGCGACTCAACACAGGGCCGTAACAAATTATTTTTTTAATATTATGCAGGCAGCAAACAGGCATACGAGCTGCTTGATGGAAAGCGGTCACCGTCGCCTATGACCGCTTGCAACACCAGAGGCGTCACGAGCGCGTTACCAACTCTTCAGGATCCTTCTCAATGCCCTTTTGAAGGATTTCATGTATTTCTGGGGGAAAACCCCAACAGGGAGTTCATTCCACAACCTGATTGTACGTGGGAGGAAGCTCCTTTAAAACCGTTCAGTATGAGATCGATTCCAGGGTGTGAAGGTGGACTCCTACCCGATGGCGAGCGGTGCGATGATAAAATATTGCTGCAGGCATCATGTCAAACAGTTCGTCAGAACATTGGCCATTGTGCAGGCAAGGTAAGTAAAATCGAGAGAGAGGAGAGACCTCGAAAACAGTGTTTCAATATCGTCTGTAAGCACATTATCGTCAACAATTCTCATAGCACGCCTTTGAACTAGGTCAAAGGGGCCAAGCTGGCATCCGGGATCTCCTACCCAAAGATGTCAGCAGTGTTCCATGGGGGACTCTGTAATATTCAATCAAAATAAAATACAATGCCAATTATGAAGCTTCAATCGCATCACGCGTCTTTTAACTTGGTAGAATATTACTTATTTGACAGTAATTATTTCTTTTTTTTGTAATATCAAGTAACGGGACGAACAAACTAAGTAAGCTACACGCCTTTCCATAACAGTTGCAGTTTCACTCAGAGCTTTAAATCGCAAAGATCTGCGAGGCACTGCCACTGCGCCCGTCACCCTGAGACATAAGTTGATATGTGCCTGTAATTTCACCAGCAAACTTACGTTTGGCGGCATAAATACTAGAAGTACTTTCCTCTTGTTAGTTTGGGTGTAATTTGTGGTTGTCTATGTGTCCATGGCATGGTATGAGTGTGTGCGCGTTGTTATTATTTCCTGGCGAACTCTTTCATAAGAAGCTCTACTGCTACTAAAAGGAAAACTGTTTAGGACGGATGTCGGATGGACAACGAGTGTACAGGGCCAGCGAATTTCTGTCCGTACGCAGCCGACGATGGAGTCGACACCCGAACAGCCTCGAATCGACTTAATGCGGCAAGTGTGGTTAAACACGACTGCCTTGATGACGATTGTCTTGATGCTGCTAGATGATGAATTAGTGAACGCGGAATTCCGCGTTCACTAATTGTCACTGCTAAAGTGGCGCGTGCGTGTCGCTTCATCGTAAAAAGCCGATTGGACCACGCTTCAGCACTGTTTTTATATATCATCGCCATAATCGCTTTTTTGTCAAAGCAATTAAGGAGTATAATCAGTCGTCTATTGACATAGATCTGTTCAGTGCCAGTGTAGGCTCGATTCGACGTTTGTTGGATGTTTACTAAGCAATATTTTACTTAATTACCTCTCATTGTTTCGTTTCCAGTGTTTAAGATGTGCGTGTTGTTTGTTGGGCTGTAAGTGGGTGTATATTTTTCTTTTTTCCCCTTCATTGACACATGTACCTGTGATTTCTCAACGTGTAAAATAA